GTTGACAACACCTCCCCCCCCCGTGGTTGACAACACCACCCCCCCCCCCCCGGTGGTTGACAACACCCCCCCCCCCGTGGTTGACAACACCCCCCCCCGTGGTTGACAACACCCCCTCCCCCCGTGGTTGACAACACGCCCCCCCCCCGTGGTTGACAACACCCCCCCGTGGTTGACAACACCCCCCCCCCCTCCCGTTGTTGACAACACCCCCTCCCCCGTGGTTGACAACACGCCCCCCCCGTGGTTGACAACACCACCCCCCCGTGGTTGACAACACCCCCCCCCGTGGTTAACAACACCCCCTCCCCCGTGGTGACAACACCCCCCCTCCGTGGTTGACAACACCTCCCCCCCCCGTGGTTGACAACACCACCCCCCCCCCCGGTGGTTGACAACACCCCCCCCGTGGTTGACAACACCCCCCCCCCGTGGTTGACAACACCCCCTCCCCCCGTGGTTGACAACACGCCCCCCCCGTGGTTGACAACACCCCCCCGTGGTTGACAACACCCCCCCCTCCCGTTGTTGACAACACACCCCCTCCCCCCGTGGTTGACAACACGCCCCCCCCCCCGTGGTTGACAACACCACCCCCCGTGGTTGACAACACCCCCCCCCGTGGTTGACAACACCCCCCCGTGGTTGACAACACCCCCCCGTGGTTGACAACACCCCCCCCCTCCCGTTGTTGACAACACGCCCCCCCCCGTGGTTGACAACACCCCCCCCCCGTGGTTGACAACACCCCCCCCCGTGGTTGACAACACCCCCCTCCCGTGGTTGACAACACCCCCCCCCCGTGGTTGACAACACCCCCCCCCATGGTTGACAACACCCCCCCCCCGTGGTTGACAAACACCCCCTCCCCCCGTGGTTGACACAACACCACCCCCCCCGTGGTTGACAACACCCCCCCCCCCGTGGTTGACAACACCCCCTCCCCCCGTGGTTGACAACACCACCCCCCCCCCGTGGTTGACAACACGCCCCCCGTGGTTGACAACACCCCCCCCGTGGTTGACAACACCCCCCCCCCCGTGGTTGACAACACCCCCCCCCCCGTGGTTGACAACAGCCCCCCCCCGTGGTTGACAACACCCCACCCCCCCCGTGGTTGAAAACACCACCCCCCCAGTGGTTGACAACACCCCCCCCCCGTGGTTGACAACACCCCCCCGTGGTTGACAACACCCCCCCCCCCGTGATTGACAACACACCCCCCCCGTGGTTGACAACACCCCCCCCCCCCCGTGGTTGACAACACCCCCCCTCCATTTGTTGACAACACCCCCCCCTCCCGTTGTTGACAACACGCCGCCCCCCCCCCCGTGGTTGACAACACCCCCCCCCGTGGTTGACAACACCCCCCCCCCGTGGTTGACAACACCCCCCCTCCCGTTGTTGACAACACGCCCCCCCCCCGTGATTGACAACACACCCCCCCGTGGTTGACAACACCCCCCCCGTGGTTGACAACACCCCCCCCCGTGGTTGACAACACCCCCCCCGTTGGTTGACAACACCCCCCCCCCCGTGGTTGACAACACCCCCCCCCGTGGTTGACAACACCCCCCCCACCCCCCCACCCCCGTGGTTGACAACCACCCCCCCCCCGTGGTTGACAACACCCCCCCCCGTGGTTGACAACACCCCCCCCGTGGTTGACAACACCCCCCCCCGTGGTTGACAACACCACCCTCCCCCCCGTGGTTGACAACACCACCCCCCCCCCGTGGTTGACAACACCACCCTCCACGTGGTTGACAACACCACCCTCCACGTGGTTGACAACACCCCCCCCCCGTGGTTGACAACACCACCCTCCACGTGGTTGACAACACCACCCTCCACGTGGTTGACAACACCACCCTCCACGTGGTTGACAACACCCCCCCCCCGTGGTGACAACACCACCTCCCCCCGTGGTTGACAACACCACCCTCCACGTGGTTGACAACACCCCCCCCCCGTGGTTGACAACACCACCCTCCACGTGGTTGACAACACCACCCTCCACGTGGTTGACAACACCCCCCCCCGTGGTTGACAACACCACCTCCCCCGTGGTTGACAACACCACCCTCCACGTGGTTGACAACACCCCCCCCCCCCCGTGGTTGACAACACCACCCTCCACGTGGTTGACAACACCACCCTCCACGTGGTTGACAACACCCCCCCCCGTGGTTGACAACACCACCTCCCCCCGTGGTTGACAACACCACCCTCCACGTGGTTGACAACACCCCCCCCGTGGTTGACAACACCCCACCCCCCGTGGTTGACAACACCTCCCCCCCCCGTGGTTGACAACACCCCACCCCCCCCGTGGTTGACAACACCCCCCCCCCGTGGTTGACAACACCCCACCCCCCCGTGGTTGACAACACCCCTCCCCCGTGGTTGACAACACCCCCCCCCCCCGTGGTTGACAACACTTCCCCCCCCCCGTGGTTGACAACACCCCCCCCCCGTGTTTGACAACACCCCACCCCCCCGTGGTTGACAACACCCCCCCCCCCCGTGGTTGACAACACCCCCCCCCCCCATGGTTGACAACACCACCCCCCCCCGTGGTTGACAACACCCCCCCCCCCGTGGTTGACAACACCCCCCTCCACGTGCCTCGTCCCACCACCGCCGCCGCCCAGTAATTCATATTCCTCATTTAGAAAGAATTCCTCGATGATAAAAAGGAAATGGCTGACGTGGGAATTACTGCCGCAGCCTTCTTTTTTTTCACTCCTCGGCGCCTGCATTATAATTTGTGACGGTGAGCCGTGGAGCTCCCTGCCGTCCACCCGGGGGAGGAGACCAGGTGTGTCTCCACGTGGAGCTGCCTGCCTGCCGTCCACCCGGGGGAGGAGACCAGGTGTGTCTCCACGTGGAGCTGCCTGCCTGCCGTCCACCCGGGGAGGAGACCAGGTGTGTCTCCACGTGGAGCTGCCTGCCTGCCGTCCACCGGGGGAGGAGACCAGGTGTGTCTCCACGTGGAGCTGCCTGCCTGCCGTCCACCCGGGGGAGGAGACCAGGTGTGTCTCCACGTGGAGCTGCCTGCCTGCCGTCCACCCGGGGGAGGAGACCAGGTGTGTCTCCACGTGGAGCTGCCTGCCAGCCGTCCACCCGGGGAGGAGACCAGGTGTGTCTCCACGTGGAGCTGCCTGCCTGCCATCCACCCGGGGGAGGAGACCAGGTGTGTCTCCACGTGGAGCTGCCTGCCTGCCATCCACCCGGGGGAGGAGACCAGGTGTGTCTACACGTGGAGCTGCCTGCCGTCCACCCGGGGGAGGAGACCAGGTGTGTCTCCACGTGGAGCTCCCTGCCGTCCACCCGGGGGAGGAGACCAGGTGAGTCTACACGTGGAGCTGCCTGCCTGCCGTTCACCCGGGGGAGGAGACCAGGTGTGTCTCCACGTGGAGCTGCCTGCCTGCCGTCCAGCCGGGGGAGGAGACCAGGTGTGTCTCCACGTGGAGCTGCCTGCCTGCCGTCCACCCGGGGGAGGAGACCAGGTGTGTCTCCACGTGGAGCTGCCTGCCTGCCGTCCACCCGGGGGAGGAGACCAGGTGTGTCTCCACGTGGAGCTGCCTGCCTGCCGTCCACCCGGGGGAGGAGACCAGGTGTGTTTCCACGTGGAGCTGCCTGCCGTCCACCCGGGGGAGGAGACCAGGTGTGTCTATACGTGGAGCTGCCTGCCTGCCGTCCACCCGGGGGAGGAGACCAGGTGTGTCTCCACGTGGAGCTGCCTGCCTGCCGTCCACCCGGGGAGGAGACCAGGTGTGTCTACACGTGGAGCTCCCTGCCGCCCACCCGGGGGAGGAGACCAGGTGTGTCTCCACGTGGAGCTGCCTGCCGTCCACCCGGGGGAGGAGACCAGGTGTGTCTCCACGTGGAGCTGCCTGCCGTCCACCCGGGGGAGGAGACCAGGTGTATCTCCACGTGGAGCTGCCTGCCGTCCACCCGGGGGGAGGAGACCAGGTGTGTCTCCACGTGGAGCTGCCTGCCTGCCGTCCACCCAGGGGGAGGAGACTAGGTGTGTCTCCACGTGGAGCTGCCTGCCTGCCGCCCACCCGGGGGAGGAGACCAGGTGTGTCTCCACGTGGAGCTGCCTGCCGTCCACCCGGGGGGAGGAGACCAGGTGTGTCTCCACGTGGAGCTGCCTGCCTGCCGTCCACCCAGGGGGAGGAGACCAGGTGTGTCTCCACTTGGAGCTGCCTGCCTGCCGTCCACCCAGGGGAGGAGACCAGGTGTGTCTACACGTGGAGCTGCCTGCCTGCCGTCCACCCGGGGGGAGGAGACCAGGTGTGTCTCCACGTGGAGCTGCCTGCCTGCCGTCCACCCAGGGGAGGAGACCAGGTGTGTCTACACGTGGAGCTGCCTGCCTGCCGTCCACCCAGGGGAGGAGACCAGGTGTGTCTCCACGTGGAGCTCCCTGCCGTCCACCCGGGGGAGGAGACCAGGTGTGTCTCCACGTGGAGCTCCCTGCCGTCCACCCGGGGGAGGAGACCAGGTGTGTCTCCACGTGGAGCTGCCTGCCGTCCACCCGGGGAGGAGACCAGGTGTGTCTCCACGTGGAGCTCCCTGCCGTCCACCCGGGGGAGGAGACCAGGTGTGTCTCCACGTGGAGCTGCCTGCCGTCCACCCGGGGGGAGGAGACCAGGTGTGTCTCCACGTGGAGCTCCCTGCCGTCCACCCGGGGGGAGGAGACCAGGTGTGTCTCCACGTGGAGCTGCCTGCCGTCCACCGGGGGGAGGAGACCAGGTGTGTCTCCACGTGGAGCTGCCTGCCGTCCACCCGGGGGAGGAGACCAGGTGTGTCTCCACGTGGAGCTGCCTGCCGTCCACCCGGGGGAGGAGACCAGGTGTGTCTCCACGTGGAGCTCCCTGCCGTCCACCCGGGGGGAGGAGACCAGGTGTGTCTCCACGTGGAGCTGCCTGCCGTCCACCCGGGGGGAGGAGACCAGGTGTGTCTCCACGTGGAGCTCCCTGCCGTTTACCCAGGGGGAGGCTGGGACAGGCAACAGTGCCGTGTGGGCTGGGGCAGGCAACAGTGCCGTGTGGGCTGGGACAGGCAACAGTGCCGTGTGGGCTGGGGCAGGCAACAGTGCCGTGCGGGCTGGGGCAGGCAACAGTGCCGTGTGGGCTGGGGCAGGCAACAGTGCCGTGTGGGCTGGGGCAGGCAACAGTGCCGTGTGGGCTGGGGCAGGCAACAGTGCCGTGCGGGCTGGGGCAGGCAACAGTGCCGTGTGGGCTGGGGCAGGCAACAGTGCCGTGTGGGCTGGGGCAGGCAACAGTGCCGTGCGGGCTGGGGCAGGCAACAGTGCCGTGTGGGCTGGGGCAGGCAACAGTGCCGTGTGGGCTGGGGCAGGCAACAGTGCCGTGTGGGCTGGGACAGGCAACAGTGCCGTGTGGGCTGGGACAGGCAACAGTGCCGTGTGGGCTGGGACAGGCAACAGTGCCGTGCGGGCTGGGGCAGGCAACAGTGCCGTGTGGGCTGGGACAGGCAACAGTGCCGTGTGGGCTGGGACAGGCAACAGTGCCGTGCGGGCTGGGACAGGCAACAGTGCCGTGTGGGCTGGGACAGGCAACAGTACCGTGCGGGCTGGGACAGGCAACAGTGCCGTGCTGGCTGGGGCAGGCAACAGTGCCGTGCTGGCTGGGGCAGGCAACAGTGCCGTGCTGGCTGGGGCAGGCAACAGTGCCGTGCTGGCTGGGGCAGGCAACAGTGCCGTGCTGGCTGGGGCAGGCAACAGTGCCGTGCTGGCTGGGGCAGGCAACAGTGCCGTGTGGGCTGGGACAGGCAACAGTGCCGTGCTGGCTGGGGCAGGCAACAGTGCCGTGCTGGCTGGGGCAGGCAACAGTGCCGTGCTGGCTGGGGCAGGCAACAGTGCCGTGCTGGCTGGGGCAGGCAACAGTGCCGTGCGGGCTGGGGCAGACAACAGTGCCGTGCTGGCTGGGGCAGGCAACAGTGCCGTGCGGGCTGGGACAGACAACAGTGCCGTGTGGGCTGGGACAGGCAACAGTGCCGTGTGGGCTGGGACAGGCAACAGTGCCGTGTGGGCTGGGACAGACAACAGTACGGTGTGGGCTGGGACAGGCAACAGTACGGTGTGGGCTGGGACAGGCAACAGTACCGTGTGGGCTGGGACAGACAACAGTGCCGTGTGGGCTGGGACAGGCAACAGTGCCGTGTGGGCTGGGGCAGGCAACAGTGCCGTGTGGGCTGGGACAGGCAACAGTGCCGTGCGGGCTGGGACAGGCAACAGTGCCGTGCGGGCTGGGACAGGCAACAGTGCCGTGTGGGCTGGGACAGGCAACAGTACCGTGCGGGCTGGGACAGGCAACAGTGCCGTGCTGGCTGGGGCAGGCAACAGTGCCGTGCTGGCTGGGGCAGGCAACAGTGCCGTGCTGGCTGGGGCAGGCAACAGTGCCGTGCTGGCTTGGGCAGGCAACAGTGCCGTGCTGGCTGGGGCAGGCAACAGTGCCGTGCTGGCTGGGGCAGGCAACAGTGCCGTGTTGGCTGGGACAGGCAACAGTGCCGTGCTGGCTGGGGCAGGCAACAGTGCCGTGCTGGCTGGGGCAGGCAACAGTGCCGTGCTGGCTGGGGCAGGCAACAGTGCCGTGCTGGCTGGGGCAGGCAACAGTGCCGTGCGGGCTGGGGCAGACAACAGTGCCGTGCTGACTGGGGCAGGCAACAGTGCCGTGCGGGCTGGGACAGACAACAGTGCCGTGTGGGCTGGGACAGGCAACAGTGCCGTGTGGGCTGGGACAGGCAACAGTGCCGTGTGGGCTGGGACAGACAACAGTACGGTGTGGGCTGGGACAGGCAACAGTACGGTGTGGGCTGGGACAGGCAACAGTACCGTGTGGGCTGGGACAGACAACAGTGCCGTGTGGGCTGGGACAGGCAACAGTGCCGTGCGGGCTGGGACTGGCAACAGTGCCGTGCTGGCTGGGACAGGCAACAGTGCCGTGTGGGCTGGGACAGGCAACAGTGCCGTGCGGGCTGGGACAGGCAACAGTGCCGTGTGGGCTGGGACAGGCAACAGTACCGTGCGGGCTGGGACAGGCAACAGTGCCGTGTGGGCTGGGACAGGCAACAGTGCCGTGCGGGCTGGGACAGGCAACAGTGCCGTGTGGGCTGGGACAGGCAACAGTACCGTGCGGGCTGGGACAGACAACAGTACCGTGTGGGCTGGGACAGGCAACAGTGATTGGTAAGATAGAGGAGCTAGGTGGACATGATCACCACATACAAAATTCTCGGGGGTAGAACACTGTCATGGAGACATAAGTTGAAGGTAAGCACCCAATTGGGCAAAGGAGACATTATATAACTTGTTCAACAACATAATAGTGAACAAGTGGAATTCTCAGTACACAGTTCCTCTTGCAAGTACTTAAGTACTTAATTGAAGTACACACACTCTCCATTACACAGTACACACGTGCCAGGCCCAGTAGGCACCTGTACACCAGCCCAGTAGCTAGAGACGGGGCCCAACAGCTTAAGTTCAACTCTCCAGTGGGGTACAAATAGGTATTAAGTGAATACAATCAGGCGAGTGGTCAGCTGAGCTGATTTGCTCGTTTGAACAGCCAGGTGATTAGTTGATGAGTGTGTGTGTGTATTGGGGGTGATGAGTGTGTGTGTATTGGGGGTGATGAGTGTGTGTGTATTGGGGGTGATGAGTGTGTGTGTATTGGGGGTGATGAGTGTGTGTGTGTATTGGGGGTGATGAGTGTGTGTGTATTGGGGTGATGAGTGTGTGTGTGTATTGGGGGTGATGAGTGTGTGTGTGTATTGGGGGTGATGAGGGAGGGTGTACTGGGAGAGAGGGAAGGTGAGAGGGAAGGTGAGAGGGAAGGTGAGAGGGAAGGAGAGAGGGAAGGTGAGAGGGAAGGAGAGAGGGAAGGTAGAGGGAAGGTGAGAGGGAAGAGAGAGGGAAGGTGAGAGGGAAGGAGAGAGGGAAGGTAGAGGGAAGGTGAGAGGGAAGGAGAGAGGGAAGGTAGAGGGAAGGAGAGAGGGAAGGTAGAGGGAAGGAGAGAGGGAAGGTGAGAGGGAAGGTGAGAGGGAAGGTGAGAGGGAAGGAGAGAGGGAAGGTGAGAGGGAAGGAGAGAGGGAAGGTAGAGGGAAGGTGAGAGGGAAGGTGAGAGGGAAGGAGAGAGGGAAGGTGAGAGGGAAGGTGAGAGGGAAGGTAGAGGGAAGGTGAGTGGGAAGGTGAGAGGGAAGGTGAGAGGGAAGGAGAGAGGGAAGGTGAGAGGGAAGGTGAGAGGGAAGGTAGAGGGAAGGTGAGAGGGAAGGTGAGAGGGAAGGTAGAGGGAAGGTGAGAGGGAAGGAGAGAGGGAAGGAGAGAGGGAAGGTGAGAGGGAAGGAGAGAGGGAAGGTGAGAGGGAAGGTAGAGGGAAGGTGAGAGGGAAGGTGAGAGGGAAGGAGAGAGGGAAGTGGCTGGTGAGAGGGAAGGAGAGAGGGAAGGAGAGAGGGAAGGAGAGAGGGAAGGAGAGGGAAGGTGAGAGGGAAGGTAGAGGGAAGGTGAGAGGGAAGGTGAGAGGGAAGGAGAGAGGGAAGGTGAGAGGGAAGAAGAGAGGGAAGGTGAGAGGGAAGGTGAGAGGGAAGGTGAGAGGGAAGGTGAGAGGGAAGGAGAGAGGGAAGGAGAGAGGGAAGGTGAGAGGGAAGGTGAGAGGGAAGGTGAGAGGGAAGGTGAGAGGGAAGGAGAGAGGGAAGGTGAGAGGGAAGGTGAGAGGGAAGGGAGAGGGAAGGAGAGAGGGAAGGAGAGAGGGAAGGAGAGAGGGAAGGAGAGAGGGAAGGAGAGAGGGAAGGAGAGAGGGAAGAGAGGGAAGGAGAGAGGGAAGGTGAGAGGGAAGGTGAGAGGGAAGGTGAGAGGGAAGGTGAGAGGGAAGGAGAGAGGGAAGGTGAGAGGGCAGGAGAGAGGGAAGTGGCTGGTGAGAGGGAAGGAGAGAGGGAAGTGGCTGGTGAGAGGGCAGGAGAGAGGGAAGTGGCTGGTGAGAGGGCAGGAGAGAGGGAAGTGACTGGTGAGAGGGCAGGAGAGAGGGAGGGAAGGAGAGAGGGAAGGTGAGAGGGAAGGTGAGAGGGAAGGAGAGAGGGAAGGTGAGAGGGAAGGAGAGAGGGAAGGAGAGAGGGAAGGTGAGAGGGAAGGAGAGAGGGAAGGTGAGAGGGAAGGTGAGAGGGAAGGTGAGAGGGAAGGAGAGAGGGAAGGAGAGAGGGAAGGTGAGAGGGAAGGTGAGAGGGAAGGTGAGAGGGAAGGTGAGAGGGAAGGTGAGAGGGAAGGTGAGAGGGAAGGTGAGAGGGAAGGAGAGAGGGAAGGTGAGAGGGAAGGTGAGAGGGAAGGAGAGAGGGAAGGTGAGAGGGAAGGTGAGAGGGAAGGTGAGAGGGAAGGAGAGAGGGAAGGAGAGAGGGAAGGTGAGAGGGAAGGAGAGAGGGAAGGAGAGAGGGAAGGTGAGAGGGAAGGAGAGAGGGAAGGAGAGAGGGAAGGAGAGAGGGAAGGTGAGAGGGAAGGTGAGAGGGAAGGAGAGAGGGAAGTGGCTGGTGAGAGGGAAGGAGAGAGGGAAGGTGAGAGGGAAGGAGAGAGGGAAGGTGAGAGGGAAGGAGAGAGGGAAGGTGAGAGGGAAGGTGAGAGGGAAGGAGAGAGGGAAGGTGAGAGGGAAGGTGAGAGGGAAGGTGAGAGGGAAGGAGAGAGGGAAGGAGAGAGGGAAGGAGAGAGGGAAGGTGAGAGGGAAGGGAGAGAGGGAAGGAGAGAGGGAAGGAGAGAGGGAAGGTGAGAGGGAAGGTGAGAGGGAAGGGAAGGGGAGGGAAGGTGAGAGGGAAGGTGAGAGGGAAGGTGAGAGGGAAGGTGAGAGGGAAGGTGAGAGGGAAGGAGAGAGGGAAGGTGAGAGGGAAGGTGAGAGGGAAGGAGAGAGGGAAGGTGAGAGGGAAGGAGAGAGGGAAGTGGCTGGTGAGAGGGAAGGAGAGAGGGAAGGTGAGAGGGAAGGAGAGAGGGAAGGTGAGAGGGAAGGTGAGAGGGAAGGTGAGAGGGAAGGTGAGAGGGAAGGTGAGAGGGAAGGAGAGAGGGAAGGAGAGAGGGAAGGTGAGAGGGAAGGTGAGAGGGAAGGAGAGAGGGAAGGTGAGAGGGAAGGTGAGAGGGAAGGAGAGAGGGAAGGTGAGAGGGAAGGAGAGAGGGAAGGTGTTACAGTGTCGCCACCATCGACGGAGTGCAGAGTGGCGATTTCGGCGCCATCTATGGGTCGGCACCTCAGCTCCCCTGATATTGGACGCTACGTGGACAACGCCATCTGTTGGTGGTGGCGTGGTAGCGATAAATGGCTCCAGTTTCCTGCCCTAGTTAACAAGAGAGGTCGATGTGGATGACCTCTGGTGGGGGGACATATCACGTTCAGCGCCATCTGTTGTGCTGCAGAGCATAATGCCAACTCCCTAGTGAATGTGTAGTTTCCTCATGGTTTTCCCGGTGTCCTGTCCATCTCATTAATGACGTTTTTGTGTCCACAGAGGTGACGTGTGGAGTCAGGTTGAACTGAGGAAGGTAGCTTACCTTGGGCAGTCCACGAACTGGTAGCCTGGGGCCAGATTCACGCAAGCACTTACGAACCTGTACATCTTTTCTCAATCTTTGGCGGCTTTGTTTACAATTATTAAACAGTTAATGAGCTCCGAAGCACCAGGAGGCTGTTTATAACAATAACAACAGTTGATTGGCAAGTTTTTATGCTTTTAATCTGTTTAATAAATGTAACCAAAGCCGTCAAAGATTGAAAAAAATATGTACACGTTCGTAAGTGCTTGCGTAAGTGCTTTCGTGAATCTGGACCCCCTGGTCCTGACAGAAGACTCAGTAAGCCGCCGTCGATGTGAGCAGTGTGTTAGCTGCTAATATACGCAGGGTTGGTACAGATCGGCGTACCCGGGATTGGCTAAGGTGGTCTACGGAAGACAGTGATGTGCCTATTGTGAAGTGCTGCTAGCAAGCTGGTAGAGGTTTGTGCCAGGGTGTTCACTACCCCTGTATATGGCTGCTGGAGACCCCTGTATATGGCTGCTGGAGACCCCTGTCAGCGTGGTGTTGAAGTCCTCTGCCAGTGAGTGCCTGGAGAGGGAAGGTGGGGTGTAGGCACCTCGTGATGCTGTGTCCTGGACTGGCCCACGTGAAAGGTGAACACTACAAAGACATTTGTGTCCTGCGTGAAAGTGACACTCTTGTACATAAGTGTAGTTATAATCTATTTAATTTAATATATATTTTAATGATGAAGGTGAATATACTCTTAAAGGGAACTGTGTATTCTTAGGGAACATTCCCCCATATTCTTTATTGCACTATACAGCCAGTTCTTGAAAGTTTACTACTGACTTGGGGTCGGACACTATAAAAGAAGCCACAGTCTCCGTGGTGTAGTGGTAAGACACTCGCCTGGCGTTCCGCGAGCGCTGTGTCATGGGTTCGTATCCTGGCCGGGGAGGATTTACTGGGCGCAATTCCTTAACTGTAGCCTCTGTTTAACGCAACAGTAAAATGTGTACTTGGATGAAAAAACGATTCTTCGCGGCGGGGATCGTATTCCAGGGACCTGCCCGAAACGCTACGCGTACTAGTGGCTCTACAAGAATGTAACAACTCTTGTATATATCTCAAAAAAAAAAAAAAGTTCGAACATCAAGAACCCGGTTACTGGTCCTGAGTGGTCGTAACAGACGGTGGGAGGGAAGGTGGAGGGAGGCGGCTCCACCGTCTGGGGGCATCTCCACGCTCAGCAAGGGGTCTGTGTGTGTGTGGTAATCTCACACGCGCCGCCACATGGGGTAAATTACCCCACACAGCCATGTGCCTCTTCACATTCAGACACGAGCACTCCTGCGCAAGGTACCGGCGCACTCCTTCATTACCTACAGCAACTAGCTCACAGTGGGATCTTGATAATTATATATTTCCTCCAGCAAATGCTGGAGGTTGTCCTAGGAGGCCAAGATTAACCAAGACGCCCCCTGGGAACACGCTCACTTACCCCGGCAGTAAGTACCTGCCTGTGTCTCACATGATGGTGCTCTCTCTCTCATACACACTCACATTCTTACACTTAAGGCAGGCTTCTCGCCGGAATGAATTATTTACCATTGGTGCGCCGGACTCTACTCTCACGGGGGAACCTGTTTCCACCTTAAAGTCTTCCAATGTCCTCATGGGACTTGTTCCGGGGAGTAGTCGAGATAACCCGACACCAAGACATATGTCTCTGTGCACATGTTGGTGGGTACTCGCACACCCCTGTGTGTGTGTGTGTGTGTGTGTGTGTGTGTGTGTGTGTGTGTGTGTGTACTCACCTAGTTGTGTCTGCAGGATCGAGCATTGACTCTTGGATCCCGCCTTTCGAGCATCGGTTGTTTACAGCAATGACTCCTGTCCCATTTCCCTATCATACCTGGTTTTAAAATTATGAATAGTATTTGCTTCCACAACCTGTTCCTTAAGTGCATTCCATTTTCCCACTACTCTCACGCTAAAAGAAATCTTCCTAACATCTCTGTGACTCATCTGAGTTTCAAGCTTCCATCCATGTCCCCTCGTTCTGTTACTATTCCGTGTGAACATTTCGTCTATGTCCACTCTGTCAATTCCTCTGACTATCTTATACGTTCCTATCATGTCCCCCCTCTCCCTTCTTCTTTCTAGTGTAGTAAGGCACAGTTCCCTCAGGCGCTCCTCATACCCCATCCCTCGTAGCTCTGGGACGAGTCTCGTTGCAAACCTCTGAACCTTTTCCAGTTTCATTATATGCTTCTTCAGATGGGGACTCCATGATGAGGCGGCATACTCTAAGACTGGCCTCACGTAGGCAGTGTAAAGCGCCCTAAATGCCTCCTTACTTAGGTTTCTGAATGATGTTCTAACTTTTGCCAGTGTAGAGTACGCTGCTGTCGTTATCCTATTTATATGTGCCTCAGGAGTTAGATTAGGTGTTACGTCCACCTCCAGGTCTCTTTCGCGCGTCGTCACAGGTAGGCTGTTCCCCTTCATTGTGTACTGTCCCTTTGGTCTCCTTTCTCCTAGTCCCATTTCCATAACTTTACATTTGCTCGTGTTGAATTCCAGTAGCCATTTCTCTGACCATCTCTGCAACCTGTTCAGATCCTCTTGGAGGATCCTGCAATCCTCATCTGTCACAACTCTTCTCATCAACTTTGCGTCATCCGCGAACATCGACATGTAGGACTCTACGCCTGTAAACATGTCGTTAACATATACAAGAAATAGAATTGGTCCCAGCACCGATCCTTGTGGTACTCCACTTGTTACTGTTCGCCAGTCCGACTTCTCGCCCCTTACCATAACTCTTTGGCTCCTTCCTGTTAGGTAGTTCCTTACCCATGCTTGGACCTTTCCCCCCACCCCCGCCTGCCTCTCGAGCTTGAACAGCAGTCTCATGTGCGGTACTGTATCAAAGGCTTTTTGGTAGTCCAGAAATATGCAGTCTGCCCAACCATCTCTGTCCTGTCTTATCCTCGTTATTTTATCATAGAATTCCAGAAGGTTTGTTAGGCACGATTTCCCTGTCTAGAACCCATGTTGATGTTTTTTCACAAATCTAATGTTCTCCAGGTGTGCAACCAGTCGTAGCCTAATTATTCCTAACAGTATTTTACAGGAGATGCTTGTCAGTGATACAGGTCTATAGTTAAGTGCCTCCTCCCTATCACCTTTCTTGAAGATCGGCACGACATTTGCCTTCTTCCAGCAACTGGGTAATTCTCCCGACATAAGTGACTCATTAAAGATCATTGCCAGAGGCACGCTGAGGGCCTGCGCTGCTTCTTTTAGTATCCACGGTGATACTTTGTCTGTGTGTGTGTGTGTGTGAGTCCTTCCTTGCTTCACCGCTTCTCCTCACTGCTCAACACCATTCCAATATGTCACTGAGGGTGAGGCTGACCTCAGAGTGAACCACGAGGGTGAGGCTGACCTCAGAGTGAACCACGAGGGTGAGGCTGACCTCAGTGTGAACCACGAGGGTGAGGCTGACCTCAGTGTGAACCACGAGGGTGAGGCTGACCTCAGTGTGAACCACGAGGGTGAGGCTGACCTCAGAGTGAACCACGAGGGTGAGGCTGACCTCAGAGTGAACCACGAGGGTGAGGCTGACCTCAGTGTGAACCACGAGGGTGAGGCTGACCTCAGTGTGAACCACGAGGGTGAGGCTGACCTCAGTGTGAACCACAAGGGTGAGGCTGACCTCAGAGTGAACCACGAGGGTGAGGCTGACCTCAGTGTGAACCACGAGGGTGAGGCTGACCTCAGTGTGAACCACGAGGGTGAG